ATTTTAATCAGCCAGGGTATGAGCCGCAATCTCTGGCTCCATTGCCTCCTGCTCACACCGGCCTCTTTGCTCTGTCCCTGCAGAATTCGGCACCTTGGTCCGGTAACTACTTGGCTGACTGTGACGGGAAGGCTGTGGTGGGTAATGGCTACACGCTGAGCAGAGAGGATGCCAAGGGTTTCCATTAGCTTGAGCTTCATTAAAGCGCCTGATAGGTGGGCCGGCTGAGTGCAGCAGTTCAGGGCGGGCACGGGGTGCAGCAGGAGGAGGGAGCAGTGCGGGGAGCAAAGCGGGCAGCTGGCTTAGGTAAGAAGCAGAGGCGAAAGCCGTGGCTTGGGCAGGCCTGGCTCCTTGTTCCAGAGCCCCAGCTCACGGGACAATGCCTGAGCCCTCCATTTCCCGCAGCACTGCAATGCAGCCAAGCTGCTCTTCTCCTGGCCACCGTGGCAGCCGTGCTGGGAGGGAGGCTCCCCGGGGGCTGGGGCCCGGGGGCTCAGGGCTGCTTCATGCTCGTGCTTTGAGTTTATCTCCAGGGAATCGACTGTGGGAAAGGAGCCCAACAGGGAGTCCCCGCACGCAAATTCTTCTGTCCACAGAGCAGGTCTCCTGTGGGCAGGGTGAGCTCTCCGCCCCACCCCCTACATACCTCCACTGGGACATAGAAGGGCTGAGAGGGGGGTCGGACTCCACAGCCTGCTTGTTCACCCACCTCTCTGCTGAACCTGCCAGCATGGGGGCATGGGAAGGGGTGTTGTGATGGGGGCATCTGTCCGGCAGGGTCTCTGTTGCCCGGCACACAGGCCTCCCAGGGACATTTCCCTAGCACAGGGAACCCGCCTATGCCCAGGTACAGAGAAGACTCAGCAGCCTTCGATGCAGAGCACAGGCTGGGGCCAAAGAGGGAGGGGACAACTGGCCAGGACGTTCTTGCGGCCCAAGATTGTGCACCCTTGTGAATGCCCATGGGGGGGCATTGACCTAGAGCCACAGCTTGAGCTGCCCTGGGCCACACCGGGGGCTGCACCAACACCCAGAGCCACTGAATGGGGGAGGTGCAAACTGCTTCCCTTCTGTCCCTGGGCTAGGATGCATCTGCCACGGAGCAGCCAGCACCCGCCCTGGCCTGGGTTCAAACCGTCGGCCAGGAGCTCACCGGCTGAGTGTGTCACCCCACACCTGGAACTGGCTGCTGCAGCCAATCCCCCCCCCAGGGCTGGCGGGTGCAGAACCGCTGGGCTGGGCTGCATCCTGCTGGCATGTTCCCAGCCCATGCCTGGCGGCTCTGTCTGATTGTGGGAGCGGCTTGGCACTCGGCTGCTGTGTTTGTGAGCGAGCCCCACAATGCACCAGCGCGCTGTGATTCATGGGGCTGGGGTGGACCCTTTTCTATCCATCATAACAGGCACATGGGGTGGTGGATTCTCAGCAGGGCTCCACAGGATCTCCTCCCCCCCCCCCCACCTGCCTGCCTGCCCCACAAGAAGGGGCTCTCCCGCTGCATTTGCTTCCTTTCTTTTCTGTTCCTCTCCGGGCCATGGGGGCTGGTGGGATATGTAGTCACAGGCCTGCTGCTGGGGCACCCTGAGCACAGAGCGGGGCATGGAGATCACTGAGGCAGCTACATCCCTCTGAGATGCAGAGGGTCATTAAACTGCACCAGGATGTCTCCCTGTCACTGTCAGGAGTGGGGACAGCACCTGGCTCCTTCCCTTTCACCTGGAGCTCCTGGGATAGCCAGCCCTTCTCGCAGCAGCCTTGTACGGAGCAGTCTGACCTTCCACCCAGACGCTCCCCACCAGGGGCGAGGGGACAGCAGGGGCCTCTCTGGATTGAGGGCAAAGACCCCAAGGCATCTTGACCTATCTCTGGGGCAACCATAGCACCAGCAGGGTCCCAGAGACGCTGAGCCCTCTGTGTTACCAGCATGGCCGAGCCACACTGGGACGGCTTTCACCCTGACAGGTGAATTCAAGCAGGCTGCAAGGGAGGGGCCTTTTCCTCTGAGCAGGATGGAGATGTGATAGTGGGCAAGGGCTTTGGGGCATTCAAGCTGATCTGGTCTCCTGGAATGTCTGTCTGTCTGCCACCCTGCCTACCCCCTGTCTGTAGATCTGTCTGGGCCGCCCTGCCTACCCCTCTATCTGTAGGTCTGTCTGGGCCACCCTGCCTACCCCCCTGTCTGTAGATCTGTCTGTGCCGCCCTGCCTACCCCTCTGTCTGTAGGTCTGTCACATTCTGAGTGCATTCTCGCCTTAGGTATCACTCCAGCAGACTTCTGGAGGGGGAAGGCTGCACCAGCTCTCTGCTTTTCCTTTGTCATTCTCCTTTGCCTGGTGTCTGGGGGATATTCCTCCATTGCCAGCCCCTTCATCAGGGCCGGCTCTGGCTTTTTTGCCGCCCCAGGCAAAAAAGCCTCCGGCCGCCCTCCCCCCCCCCCT